TTTTTTTTTGCCCAGGCTGGCTTCAAATCGCAATCCTCAAATATGAGCCTCCTGAGTAGCTAGGTTTACAGGTGTGAGCCACCAGCGCCTGGCTAATTATTTCACTTAAAAAAAACAAGAAAACAATTTTAAAACCACTGCTGTTGCCTCTCTCCCCTCTCCATCCCACTACCACTAGCTTGACAATCCACCATACATGCTCATACACTCAGTATCCTCCATGAGTACACATTTAAGATAAATACAAAATTGCTCTTGTTAATTCCCTTGGAATAAATGCCAGGAAAGAATGTATGTTTAAGCCTTTAATGTGCATTGCCATTTTGATCCATGAAAATCCTTTTCTTGTATACAAATAGTTTGGAGGCCTCATATGATAACTTCTTTATTTACTTTTGGTAGCCATTAATTGAAAAGGAATCATCTTTTTTTTTTAATTTTATTTTATTTTATTTGTGAACATACTGTACAGAGGGGTTACAATTGCATGGGCAGGATAATGCGTACATTTCTACCAAGCATTGCAGCCTCCTTCTTTGTTTACCCTTCCCAGCCTCCCCGCTCCCCCCCCCCCCGAAAAGGAATCATCTTAAAAGCTATTCTGGCTCGGGTTTGATTATAAATTATGTTGTATTAAATACAACAAACAGGAGATACTACAAAAACAAATCACCATTTTGCTGAGAATGTATTCTTTGTTCAGCTACCTGCAATCCTTGATGTTCAGGACCTTATTGAGCCCTTGTACTAAAATATCCTGGATCCAAAAGAGACTCCAAGACACCCAGTTAAAGGAGATAGGAACTTTATTACCACCATGTGGGGACAGCTTCCTACTACCAGAAAAGTAGAACAGCCTTGAGCTCAGGGTAGGATGGGTTTTTATAGAGGTAGGTTACATGGAGTTACATAGATGAGCCATGCAAGGCAGGTTTGGCACCTTTTCATTGGTTATAGTTACATGACTAATCACTGCTTATCTCTTCCTATAGTTTCTACCTGCAAAGATGTCACTGGAACTCCTTGCCTGAGAAGACAGATGAAAGTGGAAGCATGGATATGAAGACTACATGGAGTAGGGGGAAAGAAAGAGGAGGTGTCTATTTTAATAAACTATCATCATGAAAGTCTCCACACTACTTGAGTAACTTGATTCATTATTTGTTGTGGTTTGAAAATAAAATACTTCCCACAGGCTCACTGTATAGGAGGCTTGCTGCTCAGCAGGTAACGCTGCTTTGAGAGGTAGTAGAAACCTGAAGAGTCAGGGCGTCACTGAATGAAGTATATCACTCGGGGACATGTCTTTGAAGGGTAGCCTGTCTCTGGCTGCTTCCTGTCACTCGCTCTCTGCTTCCTGGTTGTTTCCCATTGCTACAATATTATGCTCACCTTAGGAGCCTAAGCAATGGATTCAGCCTACCAGGGACTGAATCCTCTGAACCAAAACCAGACCTTTCCTCCTTTACGTTGTTTTTTCTCATAGTAACAATAAAGCTACTGGGGTGATGGTGAATTTGAAGAAAATATGACATTCGTGGAGTACTTTCTATGCAGCAAAGATTTCCACATGCGTTGTCTGGTTTAGTCTTACAACCACCTTTTGATTGTTCAGCACCACCACTTCACATGACATTTTGAGTTTTGGGGAAATTAAGTAATGTGCTCAAGCAGATAAGTGAGTGATGTGTCTGGGGCTGGGGGGTCATCAAGGGCTCTGATGTGGTGTGAAGGGCAGAAGGCAGTCAGGGATCTAGCAGTTTCGGCCATTGCCATCCCCAGCAGGAATCAATGTCAGCCCTGCCTCAACAAACAACTTTTTCGGACAGGAAAACAACAAAAACAAAAACACAGGACTCAGGTATTCGCCAGACCTAGGGAGATGGGCAGCTGCCCAGCGAATTTCACAGAGCATTTAAACAAGACCATCTTCAAACAAACCCCTCCGCAGGCCTTTCTGGTCCCTAGAAGGAACTTCCGGAAGTAGCGAGCAACGCCCCCAGGGGATGCCCCGGAAGTAATTCCCAGTGACTTTTACAGCAGGGAAAAACATGGCGGCGGTGCAGGTTGCTGGTTCGCTGCCGTGTGGGCAGCCGCCGCCTTTGTCTCCGCGGGAGCCGCCCGCTGATCAGATCAGTGGGTTCCGCCGCCTGGCGGCCAGGCTGCGCGCCCTGCGCCCGGATGACAGTAGCTCCGCCCGCACTGAGATCCACTTGCTCTTCGATCAGCTCATCTCCGAGAACTACAGCGAAAGCACCGGCGTGGACCCCGAGGTAGGCGGCCCGCGGCGAGAGGCCCGCCCCGCCCTCTGTCCTGTCCCCACCCCCTTCCCTCGAGCCCCGCCCCAGGTCCGGCCCCGCCCACCGGCCCTCGAGCCACGTCCCCTGCCCCAGGCGCTCCCGCCCATCAAACCTCGAACCCCGCCCTCTGCAATGGCTTTCTCGGTCTTGGCCCCGCCCCTCGATTCGGCCCCGCCCATCAGCTCTCCCCCACCCATCCACCTTCGACCCGTCCTTACAATAGCCTGGCCCTCGAGCCCCGCCCACTGCCCTGGCCCCGCCCTTCGGCCTTAGCGCCGCCTCTTCAGCCCTGGCCCCCACCCCTCGATCTTCGAGCCAGGGCTGCGTTTCTTGGCACTGCGTTTCTTGCGCCCGCCTCGCCGGCCTGGACCCCATCCTTTGGGCCCTCCCGCTCTTGCTTCTCCTCGCAGGAGAAGACTGTTTCCACCACCACCAGCGCCCACCCACACGAAGTCCCAAGCTGTCTGTCTTGCCCTAGTGCCACCTTCTCTGCTCTCCTCCATCTGGAAGACCCAACTTGGTGAATTCCTCAGTGGTCATCTCCGGTCCCACCTTTCCCCCGACCCCACGCCCGAAATGCACCTATGCATCCAAAAGACATTTATTTGTAGATGGCATTTATCATGACGGCTTACTAAGCACTGGACTTTACCATGACCGACTCAAGGAAATCTTAGGACGTGGAGATCAGAACACCCGTTCTCACTAATGGGAACACTGGAGCTCATTAAGATCCCTTTGTTGGCTGAGCTAGAATTGGAGCTGAAGGGTATCACAACGTCCCGTATTTTCTGTTCTTCCAAACTAGCTCCTTCCCCTCTGCTTCTTTAGAGGACCTTTTCACTGTCTGAGTAATCTTATTCGTACTCACCAGGCCCTGCATATCATTTACTAACTTCCTTAAGTCTTGAACCAGTCCCACCACCTACTTCTGGGGTTCACTTAAGTGGGGTTCACTTACTCAGACATAAAAGTTCCTAAAGATGAATACACTATCTCCACACACTTTATCCCCAAGCCTTCTTCCGAACTATCTCAAACATGTTTCTCTTAATGTGTCTTCTCTCTTTTCCTATTGCCAGTACCCTGGGCAAGATGACCACTACCTGGATATTCCACCACTGTTCTCATTTCTTAATCCAGTCCTTCCTCCAGACCATTCTTTGCTGCCAGAATTTATCTTCCTTTGTTTTTTTTTTTTATCTGACTATAAACGTAAAGATCTAATCTGGGAAGATCTTCAATGTATTTTGATAAACAGTTGAAGCCAGTAGCAAACAGTTCATATAGTATGAGAATAATTTGGGGTTCCAGGAGGGAAGGGCATTATAAAGTAAGTGTATGTTTATATATGAAAAAAAATAAGATCCAGAAGAGTAATAAGATACTTCATTAAGGGTTTGGTGGGATAAAGGAAGAAGCAAGAGAAAGTTTTGATTTATTTGTGTACTTCGATGTTTTTGAGGTAAAAATGTGGGCCCTTCCAGTTTTCTCTCCTGTCACCTCCTTTGTGTCCTGTGTGTAGTCATTCAGAACTTGCTGCTCCTCAAGCACCTGTGGCTATTTCTCATCTCCATTCATTCCCATTGTGTACATTTACAGTAGGTTTTTGGTGCCCTGTCTGTGTGGCAGAGTTCTATCCATCCTTCACATCATTCCAGATTTTGCTTTAAAAAAAAAGCACCTCCCTGCTGTATGTACTGTAGAAGGATTGTGAGTTCAAGGCCTACCCAGTTAAAGTTCAGGAGACCTTATCTCAAAAAAAAAAAAAAAAAAAAGACCTAGAGATAAAACTCTAGTGGTGAGCCCTTGCCTAGCTTGTTCAAGGCCCTGAAACAGGCCATTCCACTGATCCTCCCTAATTGCTAGTTCCTCACTGAGTTTGTACTGAATACTTTCAACATTTAATTTACTTTATTATTTGTGTGCTTGTCTCACTCATTCTTTGAGGTTCAGGAAAATGTTTCGTCTTTGGAGCCGGTGCTCAGGACTTTGTATTCTGTAAAAGTCAATGTATAAATGGTGTGATTTGCAAATTGTTTCCTCCCTCCCCCTCCCAATGTATTTTTCCCTGATTTTACTTAAGATTAATATAAATGTCATTGCTTGTTTTCCCTATGTCGTTAAAAGTGTACTTTTTGGTATTTTTAGCCTCAGCATGCTAGAAATCTTTCTTTGGTTATTCATTTGTACTGTCTATGTATGATGTCAACTAGAAACTCTGGAGCTTTTAGCTTGAGAAAAATTCACTTGGTTCTTTTCCTTCATTTTAGCACATCTTATTTTTGTGCTGCTATTTTATCTCCCTCCCCAATCCTGAGATTTCCTGCCTTAATTTTTATTCAGATGACATCTTCTCCCATTATTAGGTGTGCTATTTAATTTTCCTATTTGGCCAGGTCCTGGGGGTATGGGGGTCTTCACCTACCTTATAGGTATATTACCATTGCTTTGTCTTTTTTCTTTTCTTTTTTTAAATAGGATGTCACTGCTCTTCTTGTTCAAGCTTGCCGACTTGTGCCTCTTAATCAGAATCATCTTGTCAGCAAAGTGTCTCAGCTGATTCACCATTTGCTTAACACATTACAGGTAATAAAATATATGTGACTTCAGGACTCATGAAATCTGAGAATAATTGCCTTTGAGATACTACATGTGTGGTAAGTATTAGGCTAGATGCTAGAAAAAGCAAATGTTTTGGGCTAGGGGTATAACTCAGTGGTAGAGCCTTTGCTTAGGACATTTGTGCCCTGTATTTGATTCCCAACAAAACACATACACAAATGCCTTAAATAAGAATATATTAAAACAAAAAAAAAGAACAACAAAAAAGAATATATTAAAACAACCTTTATAGGTAGTTCACATCTGTAGTCCTAGCCACTCAGGAGCCTGAGACTTGGAGGACTATGATTTAAAGCTAAACTTATGTAAAGACTCCATCTCTAATTAACCAGCAAAAAATCAAGCTGGAGGCCTGGATTAAGAAGTATAATGCCATCTCATGGCTGGCATTTTACCAGGCAACCCAAGCAAACTTCAGGCTCTGAGATCAGGCCCAAGAACCAGCTTCCTCTAGCCTCTCTCCTGTCATAAGATGACTGCCTCAATTTAGGCTTCTATTATTATTATTATTATTGTGCCTGTCCTGGGGCTTGAGCTCAGGGTCAGGTACTATCTCTGAGCTTTTTGTGCTCTAGATAATGCACTACCACTTGAGCCACAGCTCCATTTTCTGCTTTTTTTTTTTTTTGAAGTGGGCAATTAATTGGCAATAGGAGCCTCATGGGCTGACTTTGAACCACAATCCTCAGATTTCAGCCTCCTGAGTACCTAGGACAGATAAGAGCCACCAATGCCTGGCTCAATTCTAGATTTCTCATAAAAAATAATGTTCAGCAAAGAACCATTTATTTTGTGTCTCTTTTATCTAAGAATAAGAAAACTTGCTGGGTGCTGGTAGATCACACCTATAATCCTAGTTACTCAGCAGGCTGAGATCTGAGAATTGCAGTTTGAAGCCAGTCTGGCAGACAAATCTGAGACACTTATCAATGACAAAAAACTGGAGGTGGACACCTGGTTTGAGTGGTAAAACTCCAGCCATGAGGTAGTGAGAGTGGAAAGCCTGGAGTTCAAACCCCAGTGCTGGTAACAGAGAGAGACAGAGAGAGCGAGAGAGATGTCCCATAGATTGTCCAGCAGATTTCCCTAATAGGCTTCTGGAGACATATGATGAATACTTCTGAACCAGTTTCTGAGCAGGAGAATGAATAGCTTACACCAGTGGTTTCAACCTTGACTGCACAGTAGAATCAACTGGAGAAGCTTAACCTCCCCCGAAGAATTACTGCGTGCAGCCAGAATGCCTTCAGTTCCTAACACTTGATATTTTGGATTGGACAATTCTGTTATATCTGATGTTGTCTTGTGCATTGTAGGACATCCTTGTCTCTGTCTGTAGGATGCCAGTAGCATCCTTTCAATTTGACACTCAAAAATGTCTATAGACATTGCCAAATGTTCCCAGGGGTCATGATTGTCCCAGGTTGAGAACCACTGTCTTAGGCTAATTAGGACTTGTGGTTGTTATGTGGGAGAGAGAGATGCCAAAAACAAACAAACCCAGAACTCAGTCCTCAGGGAAGGAGATGTATGTTGTAGGTAACTGGCAGTATCTGCTACCTGAGATGAGGCTGATTTTAAGTTTAGAATGTTTCTTATCAATGTAAGATGGTTTCAGATATTTGCTGTTCTCACATGTGATGTTTCATATCACTAACAGAAAGCTTCTTGATCACTTGTGGCCCCAACTTTCTCTCATTTGTTGAATTTATTTCAAATGTTCATAAAATGGTACTTAGGTTATTCTAATGTATCTCAAGATTGTAAACTCCATGAAGGAAGAAATATGTCATCACTCATTGTATTCCCCACACTATACTAGAGACTAGAGATAGCCTCTATAGGTCCCGAGTTCAAACCATATTACTTCCAAAACCAGATATTGTTGCTATTTCATTTACTGTGTATTTGTTGAGAGATTACTATGAATCAGGAAATTTAGTTGAATTAAGACATTTCAGTGAGTTGAGTATTACATCTCTATTTACAGCTGCCAATTTCTGGTTAATTTAAGGAAAAATTGGAAGGACTTGACCAAGTTCTGTTTTGAATGGAGGGATCAAAGGGGAAGAAGCGAGGGAGTCCCTGGGGCAGGGAGAAGGCCTCTATCTTGGTCAAATTTTGGAACTCATCATTTTGACACAAAAATAACCCAGATATGTATGGAAGTGGCGCTGTGGCTCAAGCGGTAGAGCACTTGCCTTGAGCTGAAGAGCTAAGGGACAGCGCCCAGGCCCAGAGTTCAAACCCCACGACCGATAAAAAAAATTAAGTATAAATAAAAAAAACCAGATATGTACACAATACACAGCTTGATTCAGGAAAGCATATGTGTTATAAAAGGGTGAAAATGTTTTTGAAAGCTAAGTCACCTCTATTTTTCCTCTGTCTATAGGTGATTGTAGATGAACAGAACTTGGATTTCCTATTGGCGTATACTATTTCAGCTATCCATCAATGTAGTTCCTGGACACACATGAAAATTCTTCAAGCCTTGGCAGCTCTGGTGTACTGCAATGGCTCAAAATGTCAAAAGGTAATTGAAACTATGCTCTGACTTTGCTTTGAAAAGATAACAGCACAGGCTTTGGAACCAATAGACCTCGCTCAGATTTCTATCCTGGCAGCAAATGGATGTATATATCTATGAGTGATGTTCATGAACCCCTCTGAACTTTGTTTCCTCATGTGTCAAAGAGTTGCTTTGAGGATGAATTGACAGAATCTTTGTAAAGTGCTTGGTACTCTCTCACTACTAAAAATTATTATCATTACCCATCGTACATGCATTATTGTCTGTCACTAGATCCTTCCTGCAGTTTTTTGGCATGTTTTTGCTGTCTAAAAGATTTACTGGCTGGGAATGTGGGTTAGTGGTAAAGTGCTTGCCTAGTCTGCATGAAGCCCTGGGTTCGATTCTTTAGTACCACATAAACTGAAAAAGCCAGACTGGGTGCTTTGGCTCAAGTGGTAGAATGTTAGCCTTGAGCAAAAGAAGCTCAGGGACAGTGCCCAAGCCCTGAGTTCAAGCCCCAGGACTTGCAAAAAAAAAAAAAAGATTTACTTAGTAGCTTTTTTTTTTTTTAAGAAGAAGAAAAAAGCAAAAGCAGGTTTATTTGGTTTTTGAAAAGCCCATATTTCCTACTCACCCACAAGTTATTTAGCCAAATTGTATTCACCTTAACTTTAAAAAATAAAAATAGCCAAAAAGAAAGTGGAGATAATACTCTTGGGCATTATTATTTGGTAGAAACCAGCCATAGGTCCTACCTGTGGTGTAACATTTTCTCCTTATGAATAGCTAATCTTTTGAGGTATATATCTGCTCTTTAGTTAAAAAATAAAATGTGTTCAACAAATAGTATTTTTCAAGACACTTTTTATTAGATTAACAGTGCTGTTGTTTTGTTTTAGTACCTCCCGGACTTGCTAGGCAAGACTGGCCTCTTGACAAAGTTGAGTGACTTGGCTCAGTCTGATGCTGAAGTCAGGAGAGCTGCAGTACATTGCATGGCCAACTTATGTCTCAGGTATGTAGACCCCATCAGGTCCCCAATAGTAAGAAGATAGAACCTCTCTTAGGTAAGCTCTTTGCAGGTTGCCATGTCTGTCTGAACCCACAGCCTGTGTAGAAAAATAATCTACTTTATGCTAGGCTTGGCAACACATGAGATAGTTCCTGTACTTGGGAGGCTGAGGTAGGAGGATCTCAAGTTGCAGTCTGGGCTACATATAGAGATGAGACTTTGTCTTAAAAACATAAAGAAGGGGGGCTGGGAAGGTGGCTCAGTGGTAGAGCGCTTGCCTTGCATGCCTGAGGCCCTGGGTTCGATTCCTCAGCACCACATAAGCAAAATGAAAAAAGCCAGAAGTGGCGCTGTGGCTCAAGTGTTAGAGCGCTAGTCTTGAGCTGAAGAGCTGAGGGACAGTGCCCAGGCCCAGAGTTCAGGCTCCACGACCAGACCTAGACCTAGACCATAGAGCTAGTAGCTCACACCTATAATCCTAGGTACTTGAGAGACTGAGATCTGAGGATTACTGTTTGGAGGCTCTATGTCCAATTAACCAGCAAAAAAAAAAAAAAATATGTATATATATATATATCAGGTCATGGGGCCTGAACTCTGGGCTCAGCTCTTCAGCTCAAGGTTAGCGCTCTACCACTTGAGCCACAGCGCCACTTCCAGCTTTTTTCTTTTTGCTTATGTGGTGCTGAGGAATCGAACCCAGGG